CGTGCAGCTAGCCACCCTATTAGCCTGAGTCTGCCTGGGCTGGGAGCTCAGAGAACCGGGGCAGTGTCTCTAGGCTTTGGACCGTCTGTCTGTGAGTGCTGGTGCTCCGAGCTCTCAGTCCGGGGAGAGTCAGCCAATAGGACGGCTAGCTGCACGGCTAACTGAGCTTACTAGCTGGCGACAGTTAACAGCAGATAGCTACTTCAGCAACAAGTAAAGCCGAATATCCTCTTAACTATTATGTGAGATGTCTGTCACCATGTAAAGCAGTACATGTACTGTACTGGTTCTATTCTTTATAATGCATTTGTAAATTCCCCACTGTTTTTGTAATATTTCATACCATTTATATAAAAGTGCCTTCTGTTTGTTAACCACAATACCAAACTGTTTCTGCAAGACAACCTCCAAAAACTTTAAGAGTAGTCCTGGACAAAGCGGTCGAATAACTTCGGGCCATGCAGTGCCTGTGAGCAGGTGACCATATAAAGAAATCCTTGACCAGCCATCATTAACTTGTTGCGTACAAGTAGATAAAAATAAAACTGTGGACACATTCAGTCTGAAGCCTGGACTCACAGGTATTACTTTTACATAGGTTTACCTTATTGTTTGAAACTGTGGCCACGTTTAATAGGAACATCTGACATAACAACATAATACATAATATATATATATATATATATATATAACATTATATGTGATAGGAAATAAGGGAGAGCTAAGTAGGCCCACATTAAACATGGTTACAACCCTCTCAAAGCTCCCTCTGGGCTCTGGATGCAGCCATAATAAGACATGATGACTGATAGGACTCAAGGAGGCATTAGGTTCTTCTTGTTGTAGTCAGCACAATAATGGGAGTAATGGCAAAAGGAGGAGGAGGAGGAGGAGATAATGGGTGAGACTGCTTGAGTATGAATGTTCAAAGTTACACTGCAGTTGACCAGATTGTCACAAAAATGCCCAGAAGGTTAAAACGAGGTTTTACTTTGCTGGTGTGAGATTACAGTCCGAGATGACACTGCTCAGATAAAGGCTTATCTTCATATGTACGTCTCAAAGTCCTACAGGGCAATCCTTCGACATGATTTGACTGATAAAAAGAGTTCAATAGCTTACTATATGCAAACATTCATGTCACTGGACTTTGTACCAATGGTTTCTTCAATTAAACATGTGCATTTGTACGACTCAAACAGACGAGTGTTGAGGTAGACGCCTAAATGTGGATACCACTGCAACACGTGCTCATACATTTATCAGGCCCAAAGTGTTGCAGGACATTTGACACCCCTGTCCTTCTGTATTAAGTCTTTTAAATACTGTGAATGGGATCATTAAAATAAAACAATACTGACTTATTTTTAAGGACAACCGGTCACTGCAGCAACCTAAATGTATATATAGATGTATACAGAAATAATTTGGTTAACAAATAAAGGAAAGTAAGTAGTTGACAACCTCTTTCTGGTCAGAAAGATTTCTTACCGGGATGTTTGCAGTTTTCTGTACATTATAGTCATAAGTAGTGTTTTCTACACTATTACTAGAGTCCCTGCAGTCAGCAGGATGAAGCCATGATTACCACCAATGCTTAAAAGATTAGACAAGTCAAGTGGTAATTCTCTAAACAGAAAATTAACAGATTACAATTTAGATAAGTGGCTATTTGTCTCTGTCAATTGTGAGATGAAAACAAGTTATAACAATAATTAATAACTTTTATTGCCCGGCACTAAGACAGTTCACATGCCTGTCAATGTATTTTTACATGCAGACACACCTAACAAGTGGCTCTACACTATCTGTGTGCAACCAGTGAGTATATAGTGAATACACACATATACATTCACATTTAATATGAAATACTATACATCAACAGTTCAATGGATTACCCATATGAGGCTGTGGTTTTAATTTAACAACGTGGACAGTATCGTGACAACACAGCACAAAGCATGAAATGTCCCAATGATCACAGCTGAACATCATTTTAAAATAAAGACAACAGATGAGCACAGTAATGTCACTTGCCTCGTCAGGGTGCTGCTCGCCTCGTTGGTTTATAGATTTTTTAAAAAGAAAGAAGTGTTCACGCCTAAAGTTAGCACTGGCTGAGAGAGAGCCGCAGACTTCAATGAACTCCAGTAACCTTTACGTCTGATGTGTGGTACGACATCATTACGCAGGTCAACTTGCAGCCAGCTGACTTGCAGCCAAATAGCAGTTTTTTTTCTTCCTTTTATTCTGTAGAAATAAAAACAAACAATGCACAAGGAGCCTCAATGCATTCCTGCTGCGTATAAATGCTCTATAAACCAACTATTAGCCACCGAGCAGCAGCGACACATGTTCTCCACTGCGGCCGAAAACACAGCTCAGAAAGTTATCATACCACACACACACACACACACACACACTCACACACTCACACACACACACACACACACACACACACACACACACACACACACAAGGGCAGTCAGTCAGTTGCTAGCAGTAGCGGCTAGCTATGCTAAGTTAACAAACCAGAAGCTCAGGTTGTATTTGTACGGGAGCAGGGAGGATGTAGTGTGTTGTTTTAGGTTGGTGAGCTGCTAATGAGTGCCCCCCCCTCACACACACTCACACCCCCCCACATTATCTGCACACAGCCAACTGACCTGTGTAGCTTTGCTAACGGCGAGCTAATGCTAGTTAGCCCGGCTAGCTCTACTCTGGACTTACCTGACAATGATTCACTCTTGGGGAGTCTGGAGAGTCGAGAGGGGGGGTTTTCTGTTTCTGTTCCGCTCTTCTCCTCCGCTGCTTTCTGGCCGTGAAACAACTCCGTTAAGCGGCAGTCCCTCGCACTTCGTCCGTTTCCTGAACCGTAATAAAAATGCTTTAAGCTAATGCGGTTTGTAGGAGCGCTGCTATTGTTTGTCGGTTGAAGCTCCACATTTCCTCAGAGCCCGTCTGAAGGCAGCGGGTCCCACATCCGGTCCGGCCCCTCATTCATCCTCACATCTCATTAAAATACTGGATCTTATAAACAGCAAAACACAGTTACTGCAAGTTAAAGTACAGCTAGAAATAGTTTAAATATATATGTATGTATATATATTATGGTTATTTCATGTTTTATTAAAAACTGTACAATAGTGAACACAATAACTACAATGAGTTTGGGTAAAATTAGTGATTTGGTTCAATTTTGAGCAGATTATTTCCTGTTTAGTGAACTTTTTCTGTCTGTATTTAAAAAAAAAAAAAACACACAGATTTAATAAGTTTTTTTTTTGGTGACAAATTCAGAGTTTTTTTTTCTCCCTGACGCTTCGCCATTGTTCTGTTAGACAATTTACTTTATATTTCTTCTCAGAAATGAACAAAATGCTGATATAAAGGCCTGCTGTGTGTATCGTTTAAGTTTTCTTACACCCCTTAAAATCAAGAAGGCCTCGCGACCCCCCCATGAAGCCTTGTCGACTCCTAGCAGCAAACCCGAACCCCCCAGGTTGGGAACCACTGGTCTAAACTGATGTCTAAAACATATTTTATATATATTTTATACAACATATAGTTATGCTATTACAGAACAACTGATAAACTGTACAGTGAACACAATAACGAAGTTTGTGTAAAACAAGATTTGGATGGACAAGTTTTCTTTTACCCCTTAAAATCAAGAAGGCCTCACGACCTCCTGTGAAGCTTTGGCGACCCCTAATGGGGGCCCCGACCCTCAGGTTGGGAACCACTGAATTAGAATACATATTTTCATAGAGTAAAATATTGCTTGAATTTCTCTCATATGTTTAAAATCAGTTTTAATAGAAAGTCTCCCTTTGTCCCAGAGAGAGAAATTAGATATCCAGTATCCAAAACATGTGAAATATAAATTGCATTTTATCCACAAGTAACATTTTATGTATTATCTGAAACATAATAACAATCCATATCGGATATTTACAGCCACCTAATACCTCTGGTTTACAATATGTTCTACTACAGCAATGAAAATCATATCATTCTACACATATTTAGCCTTTAATTACACTTTTTATTAAACACCCAACATCTTGAATCCATTTTTCCTGACCTTACATGTCTAATATTGCATAAAGCATAAAGCATACAATTCCCCCCTTAAATCTCAACCTTACACAGCCATTGTCACGTCCTTAGTTATTTACTTCCCTGAATAGACATCGCATGTTTGATCAACTTTAGACCTCTTTAGCCCTCTGCTGGTGTTTTTGTATAGCTGCAGTGTAAGTTGGAAGTGAGACAAGCTGGAGGATCAGAAGTACAAGTAAGCCTGGATAACATATGGCATTTTGTCTCGCTGAAGTACGAGGATGAGACATGAACCAGTCACAATAACAAATTCATCCAATGTCTTTCTCAAAGTAACCTGTAGTTTCAGGTTACAGTATAGATGGTGTCCTCCTCACTTTGATCAGGCTACTGTATTCAGGTTGCAGTCGGGCAGACATATTGGCCTGTCTGGTTATTTGGGTTAATACTGGCTATTCACACTGTGGATTAGTGTTGGTAAAACGGAGCCGTCACCTGGCCCTAATCACACAATATAGTAAACACACGGCTGCCAACTTGTTTGCCTTTCTTCATTTCTTGCTTTTATTTATGTACTTTCAAATTAAAAGCACATTAACTGATTTCTCCACCTCTCCTCTTTGCAAGAATAAAATCTCTAAATATTGACAAATGACACAGGTTTAGTTTATTTTTGATCCCATGGACCAGTTTTTCCACCCTTTGTCATCCTGAACTTTTATCCGAGGATTATAAGTATTTACAGAAGAGCTCATTTGTATGCAGACGTAGTAAAATGACCTCAGGGAACAATTAACCCCTCATGTGAACACTTTGTAGAACAGTGAGTCTATTATCCTCCTTTACCAAATAGACCTAAAAGAACAGAAAAAGGCATCAGTAAAATAAATATTAAACACTTTTTATTACATTTATTAAATAAATTCAAAACACAGTTTAAGTAAAAGATTCATACTTTATTATTTCTGTTTGTACATTGCTCTATATCAGAGCAGCAGCTCAAGGTTTGGCACTTGACTTCCCAACTATTATGTGTGACGATCAGCTATTACATTGGTGCACAAAAACATTCACAACCAATGTTTCTCTTCCTAACCCTGTTAAGGCTAATTATACAGCATGGTCTCTCTTACTCTCTCTTGAGATATGCCAACTGTTAAAAATGAAAACAATGATCATTAGTAAATATATCAAAGATTATCTGTGCAAATACCTCAATTTGATATGTTTAAGACATGGATCTAACATGTAATACATCTGCTAGTACATGAAAGCAATGCATAATTAAAAAAAGAGGTGAAAAACATTTCAGGAAAGTGATTAAAAGAACAATTTTTAGACAATTTTCATTTAAGTAACAAGTAATTTGTTTTAAGCTAAACAACAAACTGGGCTAATGGCTTTGTATAGACTACATATAAATTACATAAAATGTTTGACATTTACACATCTTATAGCACTTATAATGCATCCAATGTGCATGTATAAGGTGGTAACACTTAACTTAAAGTGCATGATAAAACACCAAAGTACATCATAAGCACATTGCATGCATTCATACCGTTTTATTATAACCTTTCATCAGGAAACTCTCAATGCATTAAAATGTTCTGAATCTCACATCATAAAGAATTTATGTGTATTCTTACCAGCAGCTGTTCGCCCCGTTATGCGCTACTTTTGGCCTAACACTTTATGTTTTGATTATAGATATATTAATGTGCTTATAATGCCTTGTGAGCAACACACTTCAAGTACATTTTTTTACCATCATAGCCTAAACAAGTAGAGGCATGGTCATGCATCACTAAGTTTGTGTATTTTCTATTCAGCTAAATCAAGATGAATTTTAATAATTTTAACCAATGTTAAGGAGGATTCAAGTACACTTACACTATCTTTAAACCTAAACATAATTGACTAATGTCCTCCTTTTCTTTTGAAGGGCAGATGATGTCCACACAGACCATAGTACAGACACATATGGCAGTGATTCCAGTATGTGTGAGCAGAATGTACATAGAACAAATCCTGCTGACCTCTCTAATTAAAACATAGTTGTACTCCCTCAGAGATTCTGTAAGGCAGAGACACGTGACAAGTCTTTGATGCCCAGATATGAAGCTGATTTGTACCAGCACGATGTGAATGTTCACAAAAATGTTACCGCCTTCAGTGTGAAGACTCTAAAACCTTTGCTTCGATTACAATGGCGGGATTCTCGATGTCAGCTTTGCTCTGAACCATCCTCAGCTCCAGCTGTGCAGGACTGGGTCTTTTCCCAGGGCCGGCCATCTCTGAAGAAGACGAGGGAAGAAGAGCAGTTGAAAGAAAAACAACAGGGTTTTACCGTTTAAAAAAAGCGGTCAAAGTCATTCTTGTCTGTTGTGAAGGCTGAGACTGTTAATCCTCTTGTGCTGTTACTTGTGTGACTTCTTCTACATGTAATGCAATTTTTACTAGAAAAACCAAATGTGCAAACAATGTAGAGTAATGTAATCAACTAAGATGTGTCTTGACAATTGTTGAGATAATGCACACTACTGGTTGACATATTACTACTGATTGTGTAAGATTATGTCCAGTAAATGTCTTGAAGACAAAATAAAGAGACAACATGACAAACAGAAGTCAATAAACACACACAAACCCTACCATTGGCATAAGTAATGGTCCTCTTAATGACATGGTGCATAACTGAGACGGTCTTTTCACAGGCAGCCTGAGGAAAACAGAAGAGAGTTGGGATTAATTTATTACAGAGTGACCAGATTACATCAGGTAAGAGTGTTACTGACCTTCAGGTCTTTGGGGTGATGGTGAGTCCAAGCTAGCAACAGGGCAGCAAACAGGTCTCCTGTCCCCACAAATACAGCATCCACTTTGGGGATGTCCATGCAGATTTTCTGGCTTGTGCTGGTCCCATCCGGTTTCACTACAGCGAGGACACACACCATTAATCATTACTGTGTAGTTTGGTCCTTTTCCACACATGACTGGCAATAACTGATACAAAGGTTCTTCCACCAGAAATAAAAAAGAGAGTTTAAATCCCCAAATATCTTCAAAGCAGCAGTAAGTAGACAGAAGAAAGTTGGTCTGGTAGTTTACCAATTTTTTGGCTCCCAAGGGCCACCAAGAACTGGTCCCCATGTTTCGAAGGCAGGTCTGTACTAGTGAGGACCACGGTCTCTGGACCCATTTTATGAAGCAAGTCCATCACCTGCACAGTAAGAGGGGTCCCATTTACTCAAGCTTTGTATTTCTTGGTGTCATAAACTAAATTACATACAGCACAATGAGAAATATTCAAGACACTCACCTTGAAAGCGTCGTCCTCTGTGTTGATTTTCCTCCCAGTTAATAGCCTTGTTTCAATGAGAGATAACGTACAGACGTTTATTCAAAAGGATTTTTATACACATTATCAGGTGCAACAACTAATGTCCCAGTATTTACCTGCATCGGATAATGATCCATGACTGTTCTTATATTCTCCAAATTAGTATCATGCCCTAATTCACTTTTACAGGCTGCCTTTTATGGATGCTTTTCAAATTATGTTGTATAGTGCACTATTAATTCTGTTTATGATGATTGGAAGTGCACTCACTCTGCTTCAAACTGGTTGGGGGTGAGGATGTCGGCTAAAGGCACTACTTTGTCCCTGTAGATTGGCAGCAGGTTCTCTGGAACGTACTGAAACAGAGAACAGAGACTTTTATTCCATGTTTTTTAAACCTGGTTTTCATGCAGTTATAAAAAGACACCTAGTTTCTCAAAATTATATTTTCCACAGCGAAAACAAATAATTACGTTATGAAATAAAGATGCAAGATTCCCCTGCCACAATTAGTACAGACTAAATATATACATTATATTTTATATATATATTTGATGGTGTGCAGGAGAACAGAGTGATGCTTGTGTTAAGACACTTTCCCCCCCGCATGGTACGGCTAGACTTGACTCTCTTTTGGTTTTGCATTATGGATAGTACCTGGTACTTCTTTTGGTCCCACCTCGGTCGAAGTTTGAAGCGAGCTGAGCTGATAGTAAAAGATGAGGAGGAAACACTGCAAAGCACTGATTGCTTACGTGACGCGGGACATCCTGTATAAACCCTGCATGTTTAAATAACCAAGCTACCATCGATTGTGACCACAGTTTTTTTTTATTACCTCAAAAATGGCAGCCCTCAAAACCACGCCATGGTCAACTGACACAGTGCAGACGTATCAAGAACACCATCCCTTCATATCCTCTGTTATAAGAACAGCAGCTCCTTTTTTTGTGTGTGTAGTTTTGTGTGGAGTGAAATCGAGAGAGCAGCGAAGTTTCAGTCTGGTAGTAAATGTACAGAGTCGGTGAAGTGAAGTGAATAAAAGTTGCAGCTCCTCCAGACAGAAGCTTCCTGTTATTTCCCAACTGAGTTGCTCTGAAATTCAGCCTTTTCTACTTTGAGGGGGGGTACAATTCAAAGTATTATCTACAGTGGAAAATGAAGTAGAGGTACGAAAAGTGAGTAGAGTCGAGCCGTACCATGTAGTGGGAATACAGATTTATACAGTAAATCCTCAACAGCTGTATAGTGCTTACCATAGCACCTTGGTCTCCCATCACAGGATCACAAACTGTGGAAAAGAAAACACAAAATCTTTGGACTTTCTTTCGAAAGAAACATTATCAATTAATCTGCTGGTTATTCTATTGATCCAGAACAAAGACATCACAGCACATTTTCACCGCTGAGAAGCTTAAAAAGACTGACAGATTATCAAAATAGTTGTCTGATATGTTTTTGTCCATCGAATCGATTCACCAGCTGCTCTAATATTAGTTATTCCGATTTGATAAGTGAAGAATGTAACACCCACCATATACCAAGCTGGGATTGGCCTTCTTCAGCTCCTGAATGATGTCAACCACCATCTCCAGGAAGGACGTGTCCCTGCTGTACCCTTGTGTGAAAGCGACAACCAAAATGGTTTTATAGTTTAATAGTCAGTCAAAGAAATAAGATAAGACAAGATGTTCTTTTATTGATCCCCCTTAGGAGAAATTCAAGAAATCCAGGTACACATTCTGGTGTCGACACATCAAAGACATGCCTATGTTTAGACTTCCTCATCTCATCTGCTTCCCCAGATTTCTTTTTCTCCACACACGCTGCTCACCTGTGAGGATGTAGTCATAGTGGTTCACCTTATTGAGCTTAATGCCCTCGTATAGCACATTTAGCTCCTCTGCTGTCAGTACTTGCCCTTTCCAGTGGGCGTAACCTAGGATTTAAGAGGGAGAATGGAGAATCAATATTAAATGGCATTTTAAAAAAAAGACACTGACTTTGGAGTTGGAAAACAAAAATCCAGAAATTCTGTGGGAAACTAAGAACAACACTGTAATATTGCACGCTGTGTATTGATCTAAAGAATACATAAGGACGTGTTTTTCTCCTCTTTGCCCCCCTCACTCCTTCTGCTGAGGTCCCTCTCCTCTTCTGTGTTGCATCCATGGCCAAATGGGGCCTCCACACTAACTGAAAGGGATGCCTGTATCCTGGCTGCCAGATTCCCCCTTTCTTTGTCCCCCTTTTAACCATTAACCTAGAATAAACCCTCTGAAGCTGTTCTGACTGCAAATGATTGGACAGAGAAAGGACACACAAACACACTTTGATATGTTCTTCAAGCTGTAGCACAGAGTTCACACGGACCCCAAACTTGACGGAAGTGTACATTAATGCCTTCAATTAAAGTGAAAATGTCTGAATATTAATATTGTTAATACACGTACTATTATAAACTATAAGTAGGGATACAGTCCACACGCTCCACACTGACCAGTTTCCTCTCACAGAAGAGCCGATGTTTATATTAATCAGAGCGGTTTCTGAGCCAATGTTTAATGCCCCTGTGGTGAAAGCACATTCTTCACATACTTTAGCACCACGAACCCCCGATTATAATCCTATCCTCTACGCAGGCGTTGCAGCCAACAACTTTCTGTTTTGTTTTCCTTTGATAGAGCAACGTTTTTACTGCACCGTTGCACAACATGACTAGAATGAAGCTAACTGTGGGATAATGATTGAGTTGTTGATTCGTTTATTTAAAAATAAAAAGACAATTAACATGCCAGAGGTAAACATTTCTGGCTTTCATCAACCTCTATATTATCCTCCATATCCTCCTACCCAACAGCGCTCAAGATCAAGGATATCCTGTTGTCCTAGGGACAATGAAAGTAGCACCTGGGACACAAAAATACAATGTCTGGGACAATTCTGGGACAGTAAAGAAATAGATCATTACATTTATGGATCATGGAATATTTGTAATTATAACTGTAGCTCTATGCTATGTCACAAGTGTGCATAGACACACAAAATCAATCATAGAAAGAGACGAGTATTGCCCAAATCGAAGGATTTTCTCGCAAGATTTAACGACTTTTCAGACCCTCTTGGTGAGACTAGCGACTCATTCAGACCGTCAGGGAAAAAGTGAGAAATATATTCAAATTACTACATTGTAATTCATTCCTGTGCATGCTGCTCAGAGTAACAGTACTGGGGTCTCTCCCTCTCCTCTTGTGCCGTGTGCAGGAAGGCGGAAGGTGTGGGGGACGTCTGACCTTCTCTCTCACTCTTTCTCTCCAGATCTCTGGATTAAGAGTTCCTATAGTTTATATGTAAATAGTGTGTTTGAGCTTGTTAATATTTAAATAGTTAGGTTTGGCTAAATAATAATAATAATAATAATAATAATAATAATAATAATAATAATGATGTATGTGTGTATATTTCTACTGAAATATTCAGCAACAGGTTTGCATGTTTGAGTGATACATTTATTGATCAAACAGTGAGAAATAAACAAGAAACCTCCGTGGAAGTCCAGAGTGAGACAATAAAGAGATACGAGTTACTGAAATAAAGTTAATAACTATATTCATTATGTAGAACTTTAATTTGGGACAAATGACACAATTTTCACTTGTCTGGTCCTGTTTCTCAAATCCAGGCTGCGGTACATACTAATACAATGCTGTACATACTATAAACTAACTGTTATTGATAAGACTATATGTTACATGTCTGCATAAATATTTCTCCCTTTACATAATAAAATGTGTTTAATGGCATCGACTCAGTTGTGCTTAGTTATCTTAATACATGCAATGTCAGCTAATGTTGTAAAACTTTAGATATTTCCTGTGTGACTGACATTTCTGAGTCATTTTGCTTTCACTTCTCTCACAGTCTCACTCTCAGTCAGTCCAACCTACGGTGGCGTCTTTCAAAAACAACAGATTGAAGAGGGAAATGAAGGGTGTGAAACCCAGTGAGCAAACATCCTCTAACTGATACTGGTAGCCAATGTCCAGCAAAAGTTACATAGAAATAAGAGCTTTACAAGTATTTGGAGATTAAACCTTTTTACCATTTACACAACTGCAACAGACATATGACCTTCCTTCCTCTCACTTGTTTGGATATCTGATTAATTATACTCAACAGGCTGACAGAAAGAGTATTTATTGCAAATACATAAGATAATACTGACAATGTTAGGCTGAACTGAAAGTATGTTTGTCAAACATAAACGTTTATAAATGTTCATTCATTACAGCAGAGTCTTTATGTGAAATGATTCTATAAACTGACTTTGCATCAATTGTCCTTTAGATTAAATAGTACACAACACTAAGCAACGTACTCCCAGTGATGTACCCAGTGTACATTTGGAGTTAACTGAGAAGGAAGATGAACTGATCTGAGAGAAAGGGTTAGAAAATGTAAAAACGTCTTGAGTTAAACATAGTCCCCTCCTCTAAACCCAGCTGATGACCAAACAGACTGTATTTCACTGAGTCAGCTAACGCACACAAAGCTCATCAAAAGGTTTCTATGATAGTGAGACAAAGTACAAGGACTTTGGACAGTGATTAACTCACTGCCTAACTGTTCACTGAACCTTATATTTAGATTTTTACTTTACACTACAATTATACTGCTTATTTATACATTTTTTATGTTGCATTTTATATTGCTTTTTAGCTATGTCTATGTTGTTCTCTTTACTTGTGTTGTTACTGTGTGTAATGCTGCTGCTACACTGCAATTTCCCAGCTTGGGATCAATAAAGTATATCTATCTATCTATCTATCTATCTATCTATCTATCTATCTATCTATCTGATTAAAGAGGTAGAATCAAACCTTTTCTCAGTCTCTCTCTTTCGTGGTGTGTGTATCATGAACAAATATGCTGAATGCATAATAAATCATCTCTAAAGCCAATTCTTTAATATTCTGAAGCCTGCGTATCCTGTGTACTGTTTCCTTGCTTGAGAAACAACTGCGAGTGGTTAAAGTCTACACAAAGAAACTTCCAGACACTGAATGGCACCACGTGGATCACAACTTTTATAGACTTAAAGCGTTCTCAATCCATGTACTATAACAGTTCTAACAAAAACTCATAGCTTCATATGAGAAATAAAGCGATAAAAAGGGCCACAATGGGCCATTTAAAAAGCACTCAGCCGACCTGTGTGATTGGAGAACTGCACAGAGTTGATGGAGTCCACTTCAAAGCCCAGCACCTGAGAACAAGAGTAATAAAGCAGCTGTTGAAACAGAACAATGACGTCTGTGCAGCACCGGCTCTCAATGACCGTTTGAATTTCACTGTGCTGTGGGAACAACATGGTGAATTACTGTGAGAGTTTCTCAACGTGTGTGTAACGCTGGCTTTTTTTTTTTTTTACTTTGACATTTCAGGACTGTTGTTAAATTCTCCTGCACTCTCAGAGGACTTAACCCGCAGAGCTCCTGCTGGACCATAACACAGATCCTTGTTTGAACGTTTTGCTGTCTCATAAAATGCAAATATAAGTCCAGCACACCAAGAAACGCTGACATGACACTGTATAAAAAAGGGATTTAGAATAAATCTCAGATATTTGACTGATTAATGTGGAAATAAAATGACACTCAAATCCACAAATCTTACAGACTTCAGTGTGCTTTAGAAGATAAACTATAATGTAAATAATAAGGTTTAATATTTAGTATGGTGCTTTAATATCCCCTTCTGCATGGGGGGGGGGCTCCAACTTTTACAACTGGTTTGAACTCGCTTGCTACCTGTAGCTGCACTGTTTTTGTTAATAGTAGGAAATACCTCTCAAATGTGATTTATGAAAAAAAAAAAAAAAAAACCTGTCACATTAAAAGCATATCTTTCACTGAGTTTGGGATATATTTGCTGTATTTCTATTTTAACCTTTAAAGCCAGGTGGGTGAATTAAAACACAGATACAGTTAATCGGCCTGCAGCGACACGAAAGCTTCCTGTTACACAAACCAGACAGTTACACGCATTATATGTGTTTCCTGCCTGTTTATCGCCTCTTTTTGTCGCCTGAACCGGGATGTGAACCGGGATGTGAACCGGGATTTGAACCTGGAGCCAGCTCTTACCTGCAGCGGGAATGTTGCCGACTTGTTCCCAACGTAACCCCTGACAACGTGACTCTGAATGGACAACACACGACACTCCATTACCGCGAATACAGCGACTGCGCTCACAGACACCGAGCGAGAGACAGCGGACGTGATGAGTCCTAAAGCTGAAACTTAAAGCATGTGAGGAACAACTCCAGCATTGAAGGGCAGGGAGCGACGCCGCTGCTTCTGACGTGAACGGGGTTTTTTTTTTTTTTTCTTCAGGCAGCTGTAAGGGCAGCTAAAGTGGTGCGTTCACAGGCTCGCAGTGAGGGTGGGAGACGCCGTGGTTCCTGCCGGGTTAAACGTTGTGCTCGTACTGTGATAGACTCCGCTTTTTGTTTGAATACTGTCTTAAAACAATAATAATTCATTAAAGTCATTAAATAATACACTTTATTTGTGAAGCACCTTCAAAAATATACGAGAGTTTTTTTTTTATTCTGTGCAAAAAATACATACCACGATTTATCTGAATAAGAGGCTTCAAAAGGCCGAGTTACACAAATGAGTTATTACTTTTTAGCCTCTTTGGGCCCCGTAGTGTTCTTGGATGAACCCATTACAGATAAAACAAGTGCCAATTAATTAACAAGTCAATGTGATAAAATCCCCTCCAGGGTAAGGGTGACTATATTTTCAAACCGGGTGCCTTAAAGTGAACGGCACCTGAACGCAGCATTCAGGAGCTCTTTTTTTTTTTAGGAAACTTCTCACAACCGTTAGTTCTGTCACAAAGATGACGCTGCCCGTGAGTCATAGCCTAGCAACAGTTGACAGTGCAGCCTTGACAACAACACATTGATTGATTGATTGATTGATTGGCACACATACAGAAGGAATTGTGCATTGTTTATGGTTTTGTATTGGATTAGGTGATAATGAGTGGGACAGAAGATGATAAACGTCAATAAAAGATCTGAAAACAGGTGTAATATAATTATTATTTTAATTGTAGCGAAAACGAGGCCAGTATGAAAACGGGGAATGATCATATTGGCAGCTGGCTAAATATCGATTTATGTTAGTGTAGAAAATAATTATTATGTGAAACTGAATATTGATTAATGTTGCATGTACAACACAATAAAGGAATGGAGGATTAAATGAATTCATTTTTTAAAACATTTTCAAACAAAAAGTCTAAAAAAATAAAGTAAATTCACATAATTCTCACAATTAGATTTTCAGATCTTCATGTTTTCACTAAAACAATCCGGAAATCACAGACAATATATAAAACAAGTTAATGCTAATTGTTCATTTTTATTATCAGCTGTTTTCAAGATTAATTGATAAATCATTAGTTTATAGTAAATAGTAAATGTCCAAACTCTCAGATTTCAGCTTCTCAATGGTAAATATTTAATGTTTTCTTTAGTCCTTTATAATAATAAACTGAATATCTTTGGATACAATAAAGTGCTAAGAGACCACATACCTCTACCAAGGTTGCACTCTGCTGTAAATGTTATAATAATAATAATAATAATAATAATAATAATAATAATGCACACAGCAATATAAAATGACCATGGCTGTGACTTTGGATTATGACCTGTCAGGAAATATTAAGCTTTTGTATAATGATTGATTGGGTAAACAATAAAACACTTTGTCAGTCATGACCTCTGAGTTATGGCCACCTATATTCATCACGTGGCGCCATCTGTAGGTGAAGTGTCTTCACATTTAGTGCACATATAAACAGTGTTCAAGAGAGTTTTAGCAGTCTATGTTAAAAAAAGTACATTTATTATTATTATGACCCACATTCACATTAATGTAGTAAGTATTTTGGTTACCACCAGAGGGAGCAAGACAACAAAGATTTGATTTGTACCTGAAAAAGCCTATAATAGAGGATTTAACAATCACCATTTTCTAAGAGAGGAACGTTTTTATAACTAGATTTTAGTTACATATTACTGCAGAGACCACACAAATTAAATAATAATAAATAAAATTAATCATAAGAATAGATAGGTACTGTGTGTATAAGGACACCCTGTATTATCTCACCAGCACAGGAACCACACTGAATCATCTCAGGTTGACAATTAATGTATCCAGTTATTCCAAAGACCTGTAACTGGACAGTAAGGAGAGTTTTCTTATTCTGCTGCCGATGCTGGGGCACTGGGGGGCACAATGGAGGTATCAGTGAGATGGGGGGAGATCAGGGTGCAGTCAGTTACACAAGAGGACTGAGGAAAAAGATGCAGGTGAAGGATCGACTGACCACAAAGCACACTGCCCCTGACATCTGGGTGAGGAGCACAAAGGCCAGATAGAGAACAGCGAGAGCCAGGTGGATGAGCTGAACTCCGAGATAATAATCACTAAAATACGAGCAGCTGCAGAGAGAGAGAGAGAGAGAGAGAGAGAGACTTCTGCTGCAGACTGGGGGCTTGTGCATTGTTCATAATACTAATACTCTTTTTATTTATATAGCACTTTTCAGGCTTAAACACAAAGTGCTTTCCAGATTAAATGATTTACAGTATAAACATTATGAAATGTGACTTGTATTTCAGATTTTGTTTGACGTATGAAAACTATGAACAATAACCTCAACCAGCTACAACAGCACAATCCTGCTTTTACCTGAATGCACCAGTAATAATAATAAGGATATAATAGGCTATATAATAGTATAACAGTCCCTTAATTGTTATACATTGTACGGATATACGTACATATTTTAACTGAAGTAACATTTTAATATATAGGACTTGCACCAGATTATTTTCCAGTGTGGTATTTGTACTTTTACTTAAAGACCCCTCCAGACATGTATTAAGACATATATATATATAGATATAGATATATAAATAATATGCTTGGAACAATAATGTGTTTGCAATAATGTTTTTTCCCCCACAAAAAATACTTTCCACATTAAAATCCTTTAAAAAAAAGCATCTACTTCTTTTACTCCATTAAAAATTACAACATTTATTAATATACTTCTACTTCACTGTAAAGTCCATTCTCAGTATTTGTGCACTGGTGGCGTCAAGTTTCTACATCACACTTGTGTAAATTGAATAGATTTTCAACGAGCACAGAGAAACTTTCCACTTTCAGCAGATGAATGTGAAAACATCCTTCCAGTCTCAAACTTATATTCATTCATTTATTGTATTTGTTTGTAGTATAACTTTATTTACTATATAATACTTTCATTATACCTGTATTTTATTGTCATTTTATCATGGCATTTTAATTTTTACTCCATTCTGTCTTATTATCATCCTGTCACTCGTCTGTGAGGCACTTTAAAATACCTGTAATGTATTAACTGTGTGAAATGTGCTATATAAATAAAGTATCTACCTATAGGAACAAGAAGAAAGTGAGTGGAGGGGCACTTTAAGTAAAGGGTATAAATACTGCCTCCACCACTGGTATGTAAGTTCAGTTTAAAGATAAGAAAAGATAAGATAGACTTTATTTATCCCACGCTGGGGAAAGTAACTTATTACAGCAGGCGCCAAATGTGTAACACAGCAGATGAGAAAAAAGAAATACACATTAAATAACAAAATAAAACAGACATAAATACAAGATATCAAGAAAAAACTATATACAGTATGATTATACAGATGTTATTTAAAGTTAAATAATAATATTGCACAGGTTACAGAGGGAGGTAGTGAAAGAAATAATAATTTATTATATATTAAACAGAAATAACTTTACAGGGCTATGAGCAGGTCTAAGACTACAGTGCATGTATGTATGTGAGGACTATATAGGTAGTGCAAGCAAAATAAAGTGACTATAGTATAAAAAATGACTATGACTGTGCTGAGTTATACATTTAAAAGTAAAAAATAAAGTAAAAACATGAATTAAACGATATAAAGAAAACTTTAGTGACGCTGACCGCTCACCTGGTGTGAACAGCCGTTGGTCGTGTTCCAGTTCACCTTTCCAACCGCATTCAGCCAACGGCTCTGGTTGAATATCCCTCCGCGCCGCGCAGCCTGAGTTCACCCGCACTTGTCTGGAACTAGTCCCGCCTACTGACGCTAACGTCTGGCCGCGGAGGGAGGAGCCAGGTCGCAGCTATACTGACACGTAAGGATCCTGCGTAAATTTTACGGAAGACGATACATCTTTTCCCTGAAGTTGAATATCGATACAGCTGCTTCGGGTCAGGCTTGATGTGCAGTTGAGCTGTCCCCGGAGCTGAGGGCCTATTTTTTTTTTTTTTATATTGAAGCGGAGAGGGGGAGCTGAAGACGGACGAGCCGACGCAACAAGATGAGATTCTCAGCGTTTATTTCTGTCCTGCGGTCGGTCGGCCCGGTGGTAATCGGTATTTCTTTAGGGTTCACGTTGAGTTTACTGAGTGTAAACTGGACGGAACAAGCGTGTTACCCAGACGGGAAGGAGGGCGAGGAGGTGACTCTGGGGCAGGATGGGCAGCTCAAAGGAGCCCGAAAGCCCAACTCCATTTCCACTAACAACGATGTGGAGTCCGAAGAGGATTTTGAACCAAGAATAGTCCCATATAAACAAGTCCAGCAGAGTGCCCCGAAGAAAGTTTTCAGGTAGGGCTTTGTTTGGGTTGTTGACATTACCTGGTGAACACGTTGTGCACAATATATAGGGATTATATCCTTGTTTTAACAGCACATTACAGTAAAGTAGGCCGCAGTGGGGCTCCTCCACTGTAAATACATAGTTAGTGCACATAATGCGAGGTGTACAGGTGTTGTAATGTAGGGTGTGAGGTTTTACACTGACAAAACACAACTTAATGGCATGTAAGGGCTGCATAATTCATCTAAATATTATGAGAACCAAGTGCAATATGCAAAATGTTTGTTTTAATTAAGGTAAACAGGATTTTTAATTGGGTTTTTATTCAGTGAAAATGTAATTCTAAAGTTATTTTCCCTCATCTAAAAGTCTTCCTCTGTTAGTTTTCTACCTGCTGACATTCCCTGTCTTAGAGATAAAAATGACCCCCAATATTTTCTTTTCATATTTCTCTCCAAGGATTTCCGCCCCAGATCTGTTTCTTAGTAAACAGGCAGACATTTCCAAGATTTCCTGGATAGAGACCTTGTTTTGTACCCAAAGTGGTGGTATTGGATTGCAATTCTCAGAAAGAGACTTTTCCTTTGTGGGAAAGTTCTGCTGAGTTCAGAGCTGTAAACATGTTTGGCATCCATGTTTCATGT